CCATCCATTGGCTGCCACTCCCTCATTGTTCTTGCCCATCGGCCATCACCGCTTCTAGCGACGTGATATATCCCAACTCGATTACTTTTCTTCACAGTTTCAACCCAATGGGTCAAGTACAATGCTCACTTCCTACATTACCATTTCATTGCTTGATACATTGTATTTCAAGCGACTTAAAATACACGGTATGTTATAAATACCTTGAGTTATTGCCTCAAAGTCAGAAAGTCAAAGTTGTTTACATTTAAACGAGCATGGTGGGGTACTCATTTGAACCTTACAGCGGTACCCTGGGGTCCCATAGTATCCCGGCTCTCGCATAATGTCCGTGATGCAGTCATTTTGAGTCTGTTGATGGTCGGCGATGCGGCAATCGACTCATCTCGACGAGCTGTACACTATGCACTGCTACGGTGCGTACGAGCGTTCAGGGTTTCGGCGCAATCTTCCTCGCTGCGTTTCGGCATCGCGCAGTAGCACTGATTTCGCATTGATTGGTACCCCAGTCGCGGAGTGAAGTACACCCCTGGAAAATAAAATATTTAATTGCCTCGGCCCATTTTGTATTATTTGGTACTCCGGGGTCCCACCATAAGGTTAATTTATTGTTGATGGATTGGGTCACCACCGAATCCACGGACCAAATCCAGGCATGGTTCTTAGTCAGCCGAGGTCTATCAAAACTGTGCAGCACTGCCCATTATATTGGAGTAAAGTTCAACACAATGCCACCAGATCTCGTACACACAATCAATTCCTGCCGCCTGAACACAGATGCCAATTCGTGAAACTGTCCGGGTCAAACCAGGACAGGTGGCAACACTATATATCTCTAAGCCAGTGGTGGAAATTCCTCATTCCTATGGCAGGGGTGAACTCACCTGCAGGACAACCAGTGTTTGCCTGCCACGCGAAGCGTTAGGCATTGAACCTGCAGCGACAATGGTTACACTCATCTCCTGGCGGTGATTTAAAATTGCATCCTTCACGCTCCCAGCGCGGTACCACCCATCTGCATTTACATTGGTATAAAACTATAATGTTCTTCTTCTTGGTTCTTTCGGTAAAGTCACGTAGAAGGAGAATAATAAAATAATAAATAATAAAACATAATAAAATAATTCTCACGACGTTTCGGCCACAACGCAAGCAGCCGTCTTCACGTGGAGAACAGGTCTGTCGAGAAGGCAGACTCTGCCTTCTCGACAGACCTGTTCTCCACCTGTTCTCCACCTGAAGACGGCTGCTAGCGTTGTGGCCGAAACGTCGTGAGAATTATTTTATTATGTTTTATTTTTTATTATTTTATTATTCACCTTCTACGTGACTTTACCGAAAGAACCAAGAAGATGAATCCCTGCAGTCACGAAAGCTTTAAATCGAAATAAAACTACAATGGTTTGTGAAATATTACATTTCCTCCATGGCACGGAGTGGTGGCGCAGCAGCTAGCACGCTGCGCTATGAACCCAGCAACCTGGATTTGATTTCCAGTCATGGTTAACATCAGCGGCGAGTGATATCACAATCAGTCCTGGGCCGCCTCTAGGTCGACTCGGCTTTAAAATGTGTACTTTCAAATGAGTGGTGTGTAAACATCACCATTGGGGAGTCAAAGGCACCGACCACACCATTCCCTGATGCACCACACCGGCCTATAGAGAGGCTATAATGTAGATTTTTGGCTTTTTTGTATATGTATGTATATATAGAAGACTGTATTCGGACAAGATGAGATCTGCCGAGAGAGCCAGCGTTACTGGCACTTTAAGTGTAACAGCTTAGACGTTTTCCATCGCCATGGTGTGGGGAAAGCCTGTTTACTTTCGGCTTTTGCATTTAGATTTCGCATCTCCTTGCCAGAACTGCATTGATTTGTGATGTATCCTACGCTGGAATGCAGCAGCCAACACACGGGTGGCTTTAAAACCCATCCCAAATGATCTCAGCGCAAAATAAAAATGAATGTCTAATGCTAAGCAGTGCTTTTAACTCGAAGCATTCAATAGAATCTGGCACGTGGTCCCAACTTAATTTAGATTCTGCTCGATTCAATGTAACATATGCTTTCAGAACATCGTAAGTTATGAAGTAGTTGCGGAAAAAGGTACGTAATTATAAAAAAAAACATTGTTATAGAACTAAGCCATTCTGTATGTCGGAGATTGTGGGTTCGAGTCTGGGTTTCGCATAACGATTCCAGGTTCTGGAGTGCATCATGTTGATGGTCTCAGCCCAGGCACCGATGACTGCACAGGAAAAAAAACCCACCAGATTAAATCAGGGCTTAAACTTAATTTTGAAAAATAACAAAAAATCCAACTTTGAGAGTTAAAATGTCAAAAAAATTAACCCGTAATAACAAAGTTTTTCACTATAAATCCTTTAGGATGCGTGGTGGCTAGAGTCCTCTCGTCCTCTGGCTTGAGATGGCTGCCACCTATGGGTCAGATGATTGCCTGCCACCATCAAGCAATTGGCAATTAAATATAATTTATTTTTTCCTAAAAAGTGTAAAAAAAATTACAAAAAATTTCACGAAAATAAATTGTCATGCACAACGAGTCTGTGTGCAAAATGTCAGCTCGATTGGATCACGGAAAGTGGGTTAAAAAACGACCGAAAGATTTGCACGGTCGTAAGCGCGCAAGCGCGCAAGCAAGTGAACTTAATATAAAGGATTTAAAAATACGTTTCATTGCTATGAGACGAGCACCTCCATGGCGGAGTGTGTGGGAATGTGCAGAAGTATATCTCAGACGTAGCTCAGTGATATCTACTTCTGTAGGCCGCTCTCTAACACGCGGTGATGCACTGTCTTGTTCGATTTTTGAATGGACATTTCGTTTGGTGAAATGACATATAGCAGTGAAATATGGGTAAACTCAGCCTAAAGTGTGTAATACTAATGCAGTGTAATGCTCATGGAGTGTAAACAAAGGCGGATGGGTGTTGTTGTTGGCACGCACGACGTATCAGTGTGTTGTCCTGACCTTAATAGGTGCTCACTAACAACCAGACTAACAAGGGCATCCTTATACATTATTTATTTGTGCATTGTTTTTCATGTACACGTGTGTGTGTGTGGTTATCTAATCTAGCCCTGGGTCCTCCCCTCGATTAACTCAGCCTCGAATGAGTACTGTAACTGGTGCGGTGTGTGAACATCGCCAATAGGGAGACAAAGGCGGCCGGGCGTGGTTCTGGCCACCAAACCCCCTCTGTGCGCCACGCCAACCTTCTGAGATGTACGCTCACAGTACTTGCCCAAGAAGTCTATTTCTGGATTTATATAAGGGGGATCTTTGTCTTGTTTGTTGGGTACACAGTGTTCTTCGGTTATAGCATGCGGTGCAGTCGCCATATGTTTACTGAATACAACCCGTGTGTATAAAACAGACAGACCTAAGGCAATGTTTTACACTCTTGAGGCAGTATGTCTCTTGCAAGAGACCTTGGAATACTCAAGTAAAGCTCGATACACTCGGTGTGTCGTGAAACATTGTTCAAAATAATAGTCCGGTGTCAATTCATTTCCGCATGAAGGCCTCCTGCCGCCAGGTTGATCGTGGGCATTGTTTGACCATACTTCGCCGTGCGCGTCGGTGAGCACTGCTGCGGTAAGGTAGAGGTACGGTGGTAGCAGAGGTTGAAGGAGGGAGGCCCAGGACTGGTTTAATTATAATTACCACTCACCGCCGGTGGTAGCCGTGGCCAGGAATTGAACTCAGGATAATCAGATTCATTGCGCAGTGCGTGAACCGCTCTATTGCAACCATTTGTGTCGACCCACTGTTATGTTTAGGGGCCTCCCCACACTATGCGGGGAGGGTCATGTGGGGTCATTTGATCATACTTCACCGTGCCGGTCAGTGCGGGTTGATGAAAGTGTCGGGCATAGACATGGGAGCAAATAACTAAACTGAACAATTTTTTTTATATTTTACCAGGTAAGGCCCACTGAGCTATGAAGCTGTTTTTCAGAAGCGAGCCGGCTTTCACAAATGATAGCTTAACGAAGCAGTTCATCACGTGGAAATTTATAGCAGCAAAAACACTAAACTCTAAACTCATGTTTCTAATTGTGGAGGGAAAAACCGAAGGACCCGGAGAAAAATCTACGCAACCACAGGGAGAGAGACACCGCAAACTCTAAATACACAACAGGCGTCAGGGTCGGGATCGGACCCACGACCTCCTGTATTCCAGGCGAGGGAGTTAACGTCTTGTCACCGTGGGTGTAAAAATAGTACAACGGCAGAATAGTACAACAATGGACTTTACAACCCTGTCCTCTGCTGCCTGCAGTGTATCCCCGCAGCAGCCTATAACACCTGTTTTTTTGCCTGGTGGTTGCTCATATAAGCTCTGTTAAGGCTCAGCCCTGCTCAGCTTACGGCCAAAAAATCGCCCACGACGTGTCCGATCCCGTCTGCCCTCATACACGACAGCGTGAAACGATGTAATTGCATCGAATGAATAGAGCAGGGTCCTGCTTTTTTTTTTGTAACACAATCACATGAACCTTAACTGTGCTCTAGGGCACGCTGAACTGTCATACAATATTCATAACAGTTGCTGGCAGTAATGAAATGTAGATAAATAATATAACCTCTTAAGCATAATCGATATGAAGAGCTGACCACTAAAAACCCTTGATCAATAGAACCAAAGTGCACGTACACTGTGCCATGTACAGACGCTCGCGAGCAGAATGCTGACCTCCACGTAGCTACGTCGAGCCATGCCGGTACTCGGCGCGCTATAAATGTGCAACCCTAATAATGCCTTCTCACGAAACAAATGCATTTACTGGTGATGGTATTTCCTCCGACAATGTACGGTGTACAATTCAATACGGCGGATGATGAAGCGTTGCGTTTGCTCGAACCAATTTCAGTGTTTTCTAAATTTGCATTCTTGAAATATTACTCAATGCACGAACGTCAACGGCGCATCATTTAGTTTTGCTTCATGAACACAATCACACGACGTACCTGTGCCGATGCTTGCATCCTGGGATTATATCCCGTCATTGGAGGCAAGGAGAAAACGAAAGCAACGAATAGCAAAGGTGAGGATAAATCCTTGTTTGTTATAGCCCATTGGAGTAAATCTCCGCCGAGGTCCTTTCCCTTTCCCTCCCACGGCGCGCAGATTTCTGCGGGGAAATCGCCCCGTCTGCCGTCAAGCCAACATTCGGCACACACACACACACACACTCTCTCGTCCCCCCACCACCAACACCGCCGCTGTCGCCGCTATCACCCAGCGCTCGCCAACCCCTCCCCTCCCCCTCCTGCCCGCCCCGGCAGCCCACCAGCTTCACACGTTAGCACCCACGGGTGGATCAATAAGCACCCGTCCCCACCCACCCCCACCACACACACACGGAATGAAAGCAATTTAAATCTCGGCCGACACTCTTCTGCTCTGCTGCCGCAGCTGCACGTCGCTTGCCGGCCCCCGAAAATTCACTTTCACCAGTGAGTGGCTTTGCCACTGTTGCACTCTGGGCCGTTCCGCAAGCCGCAACGAAAGCCAATTTGTGCCCTCCCGAAATGTTCCCTCCCCCCTCCTCACCCGCCCCCCCCCCCGCCCCGTTTAGACAAACCGAGTTCGTCACCCCACCGCAATTCCTGCACATCAGAATCGGAAGTTTGTTTTTGCCGAGGTTATAAAGCCCTTGAGAGCGACGCAGCTTCCTGTGCAAAGGCCCACTCGGCCAGCAGAGAACAGTCGGCCTGGCCGATGACAATGTTTGCAAATAAAAACAATGAAATATAATCCTGCCCAGGGCTCGTGTTCTACGCCCTGCAATGAAGGGAGGATCTGGAACATTGCGAAACGCAGGTCGTACTTAAGAGGATGCCGCAGCGCACGAGTGTATTATAAGACAACAAAAAAAAACATTTTTTTCTGGCCTGGACTTTTGCAGCTGTTTTATGCTAATTTCAGGGTGCTGATTCCAAATATGATCTCAGATTTGCTCTATCACATCTCATTTTTATGCTATAGGCTTACCCCATTTTCATTGATTTTACCCGAAATTAACTCTGTCACTTATGATTGCAAGTTGTTGCGAGTCAGTGACTGCTTTAGTGTTAAAATATGGTGTTGTATTTTTAGGATAGTGTGTTTATAATATAATTTTATGTAGATATCCACATTTATTTCATATTTTTCTTCTGCAGTTTTTATAAAAAAAATGCAATATTTGATATCTCAAAAACCTGATGTGATGGACAAAAACTGATGCCAGATTTGGAATCGGCACCCCAAAATTACCTTAAACCCTTTGGAATACATTATGCCAGAAAAAGTGTGTTGACCAGTGTAATATATGTCACCATCATCTGCTGCGCGGTCTCGTGGCTGGGTATGACAGCACCGCAGAGGTGCTCAACAGCAGCTAGTCGCATTACCGCCACGAGACCCCATCGGGCAGCGCGTGCCGCAAGAAGTGCGTGACAGCAAGAGGATTTATGTCGAAGATGCCCTTGCAGCCGCCTATCTGTATTGCCAAACGGAATCCTAAATGAAGGACCTCTCTTGTTGCCTGCAACTGGGAAGGAGCGTTGGTCGTGGTAAGGATCGTGAGGCGGATGGCATATTTCCCTGCACACCCACTGATCGATGAGAAAACACATCAGAATAATGACCCTCTGCCCCGAAGCCATTCATTCTGTTGCTTTGCGGACGCGGGGTCTGCAGAGTTTTACGCGAAGACACACCGCATCGCCTGCGACTGCACTCAAGGCACTTTATCACCCGCGACAGATTTAAACAATATTGGGTATCAGCGCTCGGTCCCCGGCGTTTGAGGCTGTCTGCCGGTGTTGTTTTATTAATAAAACTTCAAATTGCGCATCATAGACTGCTGCAAGAAGGCTCCGCGAGTAAAACATTTACGAGACTCGAGCTGTCATCGTCTCCGCAGTGGCGACGCGACGACTTTTGCACTTAATTTGTGCAAAACTCTCACGGATATAAATTAGTGTATATATTCGCGACCAACAAGAAAAACGTGGGGGGGGGGGGGGATAAATAAACGGAGCTTCAAACGGTCGCTGATAAAGGATACAAAATGGGAAGAGCGCCCGTTTATCTTCTTGGTTCTTTCGGTAAAGTCACGTAGAAGGGAAATAATAAAATAATAAAAATAAAACATAATAAAATAATTCTCACGACGTTTCGGCCACAACGCAAGCAGCCGTCAGACGCTGTCTCCCTGACAGACCTGGTCTTCACCTGAGGACGGCTGCTTGCGTTGTGGCCGAAACGTCGTGAGAATTATTTTATTATGTTTAATTTTTTTTATTTTAATATTTCCCTTCTACGTGACTTTACCGAAAGAACCAAGAAGATGAATCCCCGCAGTCACGAAAGCTTTACATCGAAATTTAAGCGCCCGTTTAAATAAACAGTGCACTCATCGTTCAGTATGGGCCGAGAAAGCTTAGGAAAGCGTGGTCACAACAGATGCGTTTAATCGAAATGCATGCAATTCCCCTGCGATGCCACCAACGCATTCTATTGAACCGACGGCTCACACCTGAATCGGACTCTCTCCGCAAAAACAAAAAAAATCCCAGCTTGGCTTTTGCCAGCGCGGTGCCTGTAACGTATATGCCAAGGCAGCCAGCCACCAGGGCTGACAACATTTTAATGGCATTTTACCACGGGATGACAAACTGCGCACTGCCCGCCGCCAGCGAGTGCGGGGAAACCGGTCTAGTGCGGGAAGCTGCTTATCCAACTCCGGCGATGCGTTGACTTAGCGATGTGGACGAGGTCCAGCGTTCTTGGCCGTCTTTCACACGGCAAGTCGGCACTCATTATGTTCTGGGTGTTTTTTTTTCATCATCGGTGATGCCATGGAGGATGGGTGGGTGCAGTGGGGGGCGGGGGGTTGTTCCTTCTCAACTTGACAGACTGTTGGAGGGTGGGGGGGGACAATGGATTGTAGACCCGCCCCACTAAATATCGCTGTGTACAGAGAGGTAGGAACCAATATACTTCATTTTAACAGCATACAAACTAATATCTTTACCACAGATAACTTTTGATCTGCGCATTCAATCTTTCCATTTCACAAATGTGCCCCTTTGTTATATTTCTCCTCTACCTCAATGCGACCTCTCGTTGGCGTTTGGACTCACATTTCTCTCCGTTTGCCTTCTTCCCTTTTAACCCTCCACTTTCCCCGTGCACTGGAACCCGTTCCACAGACTCACTGGAAGGTCATTGGCGGGTGGGCTTGGGGGGGTGGGGGGCACAGCGGTAACACCCCGCAACGCGACGGTGGCCCTCGTCTGCTCTGCTGCGGGACACTTTGCTCTTCCTCGTGGTTCAGCAGCAGAGATCTCGGACCCCGCCATACAAGACGGTCGGTATCGGGACGCCTTAAGTCCACTCCAACTGAGTGTCTCCTGGCGCTGTCTCGCCTGACATTTGCTGCGACGCCATCGTGCAACACGGGATGGGCCACAACAACAACAACAATAACCCGTAAGCAATTCCCCGACCTCCCATCCACGGAAGACTTAAAAAACAAAATACGAAAGCGCTTCAAATGTTGTTGGTCGTTCTGGAAATTAAAATTGCGGCCGCTATTCATGTAGCTGGCACCAACCCATCATCCAGATGGCCAGAATCGTGGAATGCATTCAACATAAAGGACCAACACCTCATCGCCGACCTAACAGGTCCCTGGCTTCGACCTCCCGTGACTAACTTGGACTGCACTCAACCGAATCCGCACAGGACACAAGGCGGCCACCTGCTTCACGAGCGGAAGATGAGGGATGACCCCCGAGTGCGACTGTGGCCACGCATCCCGGACCGCGGAACGCATCGCATCAACCTGGCCCCGCACGCTTCATTTCTCCGCTTAGCATCTCGGGAAGCCGCCGAGTGGATCGACAAACTGGACGTCCCACTCTGAGCCCTTTCCCGTCGTCACGAAATCAGAAGAAATTTGCACGATTCATGACTAAATTACTTGTCCTAGAAATAGCATCACTCCATGGAGGAAAAAAAAAGCTGTAGCTGAGCCGAGTGGGCACAAGAAAGTGCCACGTAATCTGAGGCAGGGACTCGTACGCTTGTCCCCATCTGCTCTCTCACCCCGTCCTCTTTCTAATGAACGCCTGGTGGTGGTGACTGACACCACCTGAACCATTTGCCCTGGCCCCTTACGCTCCCGCCATCGTGATGCCATTCCGCCTTGTGAAACGGTGGCATCGCCCATGGCTTTCAACATCGACCGAGCGCGCAGCAATTGCTATCAAATTCCCGAACGCGGGGCACGCATGTACGTTTAACCTAAATTTAGATGTAAAGCTTTCGTGACTGCAGAGATTCATATTCTTGGTTCTTTCGGTAAAGTCACGTAGAAGGGAAACAATAAAATAAAAAAAATATATAAAACAATCAAATTCTCACGACGTTTCGACTGCAACACAAACGTCGTGAGAATTGTATTGTTTTATATATATATTTTTTTGTTTCCCTTCTACGTGACTTTACCGAAAGAACCAAGAATACGTTGAACCTCTTTCGCACCGCACGTAGCCAACCGCACTCATCGGAGGTGCATATCCACATCTGGCTTTTCCCACCTCAGAACTCCCTCGACGTCACGTGTAAATCGGTTCCATTTTACACGGGCGATAATTTAAAAGGACTCAAGTCTCGAGGCGCACACGTATGGGTCATTTAGTATGGCCAATGCCACACTCCGTGGGAGACGACGGAATGAAAGTTACGCGAGGAAGGACGCGCTGAGCAGGGGCGCTACAAGTGAGTGGCGAGGTTGGATTTGCGTGACAGGTGGCATCACTTACGCAGCAGGAGGGCAAAGATCTTGATGATGTTCCTGCCAGGAACCCCGCGTAGCGACTGAGAGAAGATGCTCGCTTGCGTACTGGCTTCCGAGAATGGGCTTGTGAAGGTTTGGCGGTGGGTAGGGATCCCTTGACCCCCTTTAAATGTAAGCCCCCCACCCTACCTCA